GGCAACAGTTTCCCTTTCCGACTGTACGACACAGTATCCGGAGCATGTTTGTGCCTGCCGGAACCAAATCCACGGTCGAAAACAACATCGCGGAAGCGAGGAGGAGAAGGAAAAGGTGGTGAGAACCCTGAACCCAATGATGGAGCAATAAGAACCTAATCAAAGCAAAGGGGACGCTTGGGCCGATCGATGAGACGGAACGCAAGATGCCAGCTTTGTTGGAGAGCGAGGTTTTGGTGGGATCGGAGTAGGACGGCTGTTGCTCGCGCGCGCGCGTGACGATGATGCCGAGGGCCCGACGCCCCGCCAGTCCTCGGTCTTCGGCGCGCGCCGGCCAGGAGCGGTGCACCTGACCTCCGCGCGGAGCTCTCACTGGGTCGCCCGGAGGCCACACGGAATCTTGGTGCCGTGGTCGCTAGGTCGATCTCCCATCGGGCGACACGCGCCCGTCGCGAACGCTTCGACGCCGGCGATCGGTCTGGTCGCTGGTCGGCGACTGATGGGAATGTCTCTCGTGAGACGCGAATCCATGGAAGGTTCGATTTCCCCCCTAGCCTAGTAGCCTGTGCCTCTCGATCGTCTGAACTCTGAAAGCACGTATCGGCAGAGACCAGGTCAGGCCAGCAGCAGCAGCAGAGTGACGACCAAGCGTTGCTGCGCACTGTGGTTGCCGACAGGCAGGTCTCTGTGAAATCCAGGAGAGTTCGGTGAAGATACCAGCAGACGGAGAGGCCGGTCTTGCGCGGGGGAGGGGACTGAAGTCGGCACGTCGGTCTCGACAGGTCAATTTGTCGAACGGGGCCGGGGCCGGGGCCGCGGCCGGGTGGTCCGGCCGGTCGGCAGACCGCGGGGCGAATTCTCCGCACATGGCTGCGGATGGGGCACATGTAGAAAGATTTGGATCTTTGTGGTAGATCGATTGGCTCTTTTCGCGGCATTATCACGGTTGTTTCATGCACGACGCGCATTGGCCACGCCCGCCCCTCCTCCGCGGACATGCCAACGTCCCTATTTTTTACCTGTACTTGCATGTGCCGCCTCGTTCAGGATTTTCAGATCGACTGACGTGCATGCAGTGCGTGCGCTTAGGGGTCTAAACAAGGGTGATTGGAATCCTGAACCTGTGTACTTCGCTTCAACAGTACGAAACGATCCATGTACGTGCATTGCTGTACGGTGGATGTCTATCCAGACGTCAATCGTTCATTCTTGATTAGACGGCCGTGATCAATCCTTGGTTGACAGAGCACCGGTACTTAGTTTCAAACGAAAGAGCATTGTGGAGTACTCCAGGTCGTTAAATATGCCACTTCAGCCTAAATCTCCTAATCAGCATTAAACATGCCTATATTCTGTATGTGTGTACAGTTGGATTTGGACCACCACATGCCCTTGCTAATTAGGGGGTGTTTGGATGCAGGGACTAAAGTTTAAGAGGTGTCTCATTGGATGTCACGTAGAGTGTCGCGTGGGGTGTTTAGATACTAATAAAAAAATAAATTACAGAATCCGTCAGTAATCTGCGTGACGAATTTAGTAAGCCTAATTAAGCCATCATTAGCACATGGTACTATAGCACATATTGTCAAATCGTGGACTAATTAGGCTTAAAAGATTCGTCTCGCAAATAATTAGACTTAAAAGATTCGTCTCGTAAATTAATCTCAATCTATATATTTAGTTTCATAATTAGTCTATATTTAATACTTCATACATGTCTCAAACATTTGATGGGACTGGAGTTTAAGGCGTGACTGCTCTGACATCGAATGCCATACAACAGGATGTCACGCACGTCAACTTTAGAAGCGCTAGTCTGTGCAATTAATATCTTGCCCTCTTGCATTGGACATTGGTGGCGACGAAGATGGTGACTGCACCTGGAGGTCGTAAGAAATTTAATATATATAAGCGAGAGTAACATGAGCCTCGATCGTGATGAAAAAGAAAGTAACGTGATGAGCTTCTATCAATAGTACCATGAGAATTAAAGATATCAAGCACAATCCGCCATTTTCCTCTCTCCGTCCTGAAATATAAAGATTTGAGAGTTCACAATTTTTATCAAAATATAAGGTATTCTAGATGAACAAACATTCTAAAAGGCAATGAGGCTGTTCGCTGGTTGGTTTCTGGGCTAATAAATCCGGCTGGTGCTGGTTTGTTGTGAGAGGAAAACACTGTTGGCTGGCTGATAAGCCCTGGCTGAAACCAACAAGCGAATATGCTGAATATTTACATGCATACCTACCATTAATGGCTATTACCGACCTAAATAAGGCAATCGGTGGGGTCATATACGTCATTTGTTTTGCCACATAATATGCCCTAAAATTACTTGGATACCTTATATTTCAAGATGGAGGAAGCAATATAAGAGCATCTCCAAGAGTTTCCAATGAAGCCTCCTAATCTAGGATTTTTGACAAGAATAGAAAAAAAACCATCTCCAGGAGTTCGCAATACCACCTCCCAATCTTTTAGCACTTGGAAAAAAATCACTCAAAGCGCGGAAAGATCTGGTCTCCCAATCTAAAGGTGGATGGGCGTGAAAAAAGAATAAAGAGTAGGATAATTTAGAAATAGTATAGGATTGCTGATGTAAAATTGTCTTCTATATTTTAGGAGTGAATTATTGGGAACTATTGGAGATGATATTATTTATTCCTTCCAATACTTCTTCAAAAGTTGGAAAACATCATGTTTTTGGAAATAAATTATTGGGTACTCTTGGAAACGTTCATAATAATAACATAACAAGAGGGTTTACTCACGCAAGGTGCTCAAACTACCAAAACAAAATCCTTGGTATGGGAGGCTGCCAATTGGGCGGGGGGGGGGGGGTGGGGGGGTGGATACATGAGGCAACTACTGAACGACTTTGATCGACAAGGATACCAAGATGTTTACCTCTTGCCTGCAATTCAAGGTGTGGTCTTTTGTCGCTTACTATGGCAAAAATGTTTTTTTTTAATTATTCCAACTGCCTTTCAATAGATGCCTTAATTTGCCAAACTCTTTATGCAGTTGCGGTGACTTTGGATTGTATAGGGAGAAGAGAAAAAACAAAGAGTGAGGATGAGGAGGAGAGTTTGGGCATTTGGGTGTCCCCTTCTATATAGACCATGGGTTAATTTTATAATTCACGGAGGGCTTTTCTTCGAAACGTGCGATGCCACGCATCCATGAGCGGAGGAGCCACGGATGTCTTGAATTCTCTGGTGCAAGGAGCTAGCAGTTTTAATATATAGTAAGGGTGGAGGAGCCACGGATGTCTTGAATTCTCCGGTGCAAGGAGGAGCTAACAATTTTAATAGTAAACCTAATGTGTAAACATATTTTTCTAGGCGGTTCGTTATGTAAAAGGAAACATCTTATAGAAGCGGTTCACGTAAGGAACACGTGGAAAAGTTTTAAACAAGCAACCGGTTCCATATGTGAGCTGCACGAACTCGTTCCATATTCTCTGATTTTTGTTTCTTTACTAAAAATGGAATGTATACTATTTGTGGAATCTTACACATATATGCTTCACTGATGAACATGTTTGAATTAATGGTATAGATTCCAATAGCGAGTGGTCCATTGCTTAGCTTCTTTTGGTCATCATGTTTGTTGGTAAAATGTATTTGATGTTGTTGTTGTATTCTCGAATATTTTGTAAACTAATAAAGGTTTTGGTTCTCTGAAAAAGGTTAGGAGGTCTGGATATTCAATCAAACAAAAAAAAAAATCTGATTTAAGGCACCTATAGGAATTAATTTATTCAGGGACTAAGGGAGCATTGACAGTGTAGTTAGCACCTTCCTTGGTTCTACTAAGCATGGCTCCGCCCCTTTCTACGTGATGCCGTACGTGGTGATACGTTTTTACTCCAACCGCAAAAACTTGACTTCATGCATGCATGAGCTTCAGATCCGAAATGAATCAAAGTCCAAGCGACACACACCTGTTGTGTATGACCTACCAGTACCAGGTACACTCGTGTGGGACGGAACGGATAGGATACGGGCACAGCACAGGCGGGCCGCAGTCAGACACCAACGACAACTGCCGAGGCATTAACATCAGCCTGACACCGGCACATGGCAATGGCCGGCGCCAGAAACGGTCGCGCACCGGAATTGGATCGCCGTCGGAAAGCGAGGCCCAGTTCGCCCCACTTCGGGGCGGCGGGCGCTGCTCGTCGTCGTCGTCCTCGTCCCCACGGCCGGCAGCTCGCCCGGGCGCGGCTGTGCGCGCACAGCGCCGGTCATGTGCGCCAGCGTACGAGATGACGAGGAAAGGGCAAGGCGGGGGCGCGGCCGGGCGCGCCGAGGCTCCGCCAGGTTTCTCGTTTCGTGCGTGCGGATCATCATGCAGCGCCAATAGTCTTCTGTTCCTTGCCAAGCAAACACGCCCTGTGCGCGGAAAGTTGGATAGCTCGCGTCCTCGATCTCTCTTCTTCCCTGTTGAATATGATAGGGTTTTCCTGCGTAAAATCTTTTGTTGGGCTTGTTTCACTTGGCTGCTTTAACAGCTGCACGTTAAAACTTGGCAGAGAGTAACATTCATATTATGACAGTAAATATTCGACGACGAAGAAACGGGCGAGGGCTAGGTTAATGATGATGGACGAAGGGAAAATTTTTGGCAAGAAATAAATAAATGGAAACACGTTGATAACATGAGACGCGTGCAATGTACAAGCTACATGTGTGCATGTGCTGCGAGTCTAATCGCAAGCATACAACAGCAGTAAAACACCATTTCTAGGTACTACTAGTAGCTAGTAAAAATGTAAGGCGTCTAGCCAAGTGCATCTTAATTTACACATAGGATCGTGCAAGTAGCAGTGTTGCCGACGCGCGCGCGTTATGTCGTAGTACGTACGTACGTGCAGAGCTCCAGGTCCAACGGCGGCGATTTATGATCACAACATGGCCATGCATGCCGGACGACCGTGTCGTCAGCTAGAAGGTGGTGGTGCAGTGGCCGCGAGCGATCGATCGATCGACGATCTACCACTGGCCGCCGTTGATGCGGCCGGAGTAGGGCGCGCCGCCGCCGCCGCCACCGGTGTCCGCCGCCGGGCGGCGGCCGCTGGCCGCGGCGGCGCGCTCGAGGGACTGCACCTGCGTCTTGAGGAACTTGACGTAGTGGATGGCCTCGTCCAGCATGGACGCGGTGTCCATCTTGGTGCCGCCCGGGACGAGCCGCTGCAGGATGCGGATGCGCTCGCTGATGCGCTCCCGCCGCATCCGGGCCGCCACGCTCTGCGGGTCGGTGGAGATGCGCACGTTGCGCCGCTTCGGGGGCCGCACCATCTCCGGGTCGATGTTCACGGGCTGCAGCGCCGCCACGCGGAAGATCATCTCCCGCATCGCCGACGACCCGACGGCGGCGGCGGTGCCGCCGCTCTCCCCGCTGTTGTTGCAGTTGCCCCCGCCGCCGCCGCCGGCATGGTGGTCCTGCGCATGCGTCGCCACGTACTCCGACGACCGGGCGCTGCCGATGCACGACGTCGCAGCTGTGACCTGGGACTGGGAGTACTGGTGGTGGTCGTTGTAGACCCCACCACGGCCGTTGGCGCCCGCAGACATGTGATGAGGCACCGAAGAGAAATGGTGGTGAGTAGCTGCTTGCTGGATGCCCTGGCGACGGGGGACTCGAAGGCACCATCATCATGGCGCCATGGTCGGGGAGAGGGAACGCAGTGAGCTGCTCCAGCTGGAGCATTGCGTTCATCAGCTCCAGCTGCGCCTCCGGGTGGGAATTCAGCATGTCGAAGTCCATTCAGGGCCTTGATCGTGATCGGGCTAGCTCTACTGGATGACAAGCTTGTTGTCAAAGAGTGTGTAGGGGTCGGTCAGTCAAGAGGAACTAGCTAGAGAAAGAGAGTGCAGAGCTAGCAGCAAGCAAGCCTGTCCTCTCTGGAGGTTTTATGTATGAAACGGAGGAAGATTGTGCGGTTACCATGTTGCTAAAGGTGAGGTGCTATTTATAAGGGATTGCAGGTAGCCAAAGACTAAGGTGGCCTCTCTGGATTTGACAGGCCACAGTGTTTGTGTTTCCTCTGCATCAGCCTTTTTATTTTCTTTTTTCCTATTTTATTGGGAGTTTTAGCTTGTTGCTCGATCTTTTCTCTCTGGCTTCATCACAAATTAAGTAGCATGATGTGTTAAAGATAAACTATCCCTATCTTTTGTTTTCCCGAAAATGATGTATCAAGATAATGTCTCACGCAGAGACACGGAATCTGCCCTCTGACATCTCAAGACCTTTCAAGAATTGCCGACTGTCTAACTAGTGTCTCTAACCCAAATATCTCCATGAAGGGTTCTTTTGTTGGGATATACGATGTGATTGAACCAAACATTTTTTGTTTTCTTATTAAGTATATCGTCCTCACTTTCTTGACTTAATTCAATCATGTTCTCGACATAGTTGTATAATTCACTGTATCGTATATCTCTACCGAATAAAGATTGCACGTACAAGCGTCCATATCCACTGCTCTCTCGAGCAAAAATGATTAAAATAATGTTTGTTGTGTGCTACAAACCAAATTACGCTTTTAATTTGTAGTGTGCCACAGACAAAATTGACAAGTTATGTCCCATTTTTAAATTTAATGCATGGTTAGGGTATCAAGCTAGCCCTAACTGGATACGTAACTTATTCCTTCGCACAGTTATTTCTGCAGTACTCCTTATCAAAAGACTGATGAACGTTTGATGAGGCACAGCAGATTAATTACCAGCTGGTGGTATTCCATTTCGTACGGTCATGCATCGACCAACAGGTGTCAGGTTCGGATGAACGGATCCTTAATACGTCGTCGTTCTAATGCGACCTGCATTATTATTGGCATTCCCTGCACCTGGGCGCCAAAACTATGGCCTGTCTTCTAATCTGTATTTTTCAATCTGTATTTTCCAATTTGTTTTTTTTTTCAACCGAAATAGTATTTTTCTCTCATAACAAATTAGCCGGAACAATATTTCGGATTGTTTTTTCAGCGAAGAGAACGGAGCCAATATGAGAAATTTTAATTCCATCATCAATTAAGCAGCTAGCTAGGTCTCACGCGATTGCTCGATAGAGTATTATTGAGTCCCGATCTTTGCACGGTGCCATGCAAATGGTCCGTCGAGTCCGACCTATAGCTGATGCACGATAAAAAAAGGGTGCTACAATAGCGTTTTCTAATGCTATATATACATGTTGTTATATCTGTTGCAGTAGCAAAGTTAAAATATTTGAAGCAGTATAAGAAGGGGATTTCAAATAAAAAAGCAGGGGAAAATTCAGTTCAATGTACTTGGCGTACACTATGTCAGAAAATGGCCAACAGTAACAACGTTGAGCCATATGGCCGGATTGACCACCTACATTAGACGCAACAAAAATGTCTATCATGCATATATACAGCCAAAGTACATTGGTCCACCTAACTGATACTCCCTCTAGTTCCATAATTCCTACGTATTGTTTTGATTTGAACAAGGCTGAGGAGATTTTTTTAGAACTTTCACTATAGATAATTTTTAAAATTAATATTTGTTTGCAGACATGCACTAAACATGCTTGTATATGTTAGTCTTAAAAAGTGAACTGTTAAATAATATCTTTGCTCGTTTTTATTATAATATGTACAAAAAAGAGCAAACCATGCAAATATAGGAGCCATTACTATTTAAAAAAAGTTTAGTCACTACTATAAAAATGATTTTGCAAAACGGTACCCTTTTATTAATCGAGACGGTCACAAAATCCAATTGCCCGCCTCGGAAAATAGATTTACGAAGGTACCGCCTCAAAAAATGGTCTATTTTCAGAGACGGTCGTCTTAAGGTGCCCGCCTCCATAAATCTATTTTCAGAGACGGACACACTATAAGGCCCGCCTCCAAAAAGGCCGAGGCCCAACAGGGCAACAGGCCCAGGCGAGGCCTGATAGCCACCTTCGATATAAATAAAGTTAGGGTTTCTTCCTTCACTCTCTCCTCCACGATCAGCCCGTCCCTCTCTCCCTCCGACTCCCAACGGCGCCGCCCCCGCGCTCTCTCCTTCCACTGCGCCCGTCCCTCTCTCCCTCGGTGCTCCCTCACTCTATCTCTCCCGACGCTCGTTCGCTCCCTCCCTCCCTCTCTCCCCCTAGAGGTCCCTCCCTTTCTCCCGCCGGCGCTCCCTCCCTCCATCTCTCCTGGCGCTCCCTCTCCGTGGTGGTGCGGTGGCCGTGGTGGGGTGGCCCCTCCCTCTCAGGCAGCAGGCAGGCCTCTCCCTCCCCCCAAGCGCGAGCGGCGGCGGCTCCCGGTGGCTCTCCCGGGTCCAGGCGAGTGGATCCGTCGGCGGCGAGCTCGGGGCAGCCGGATCCGTCGACGTGCTCTATGGTGGTGGCTCCTGGCGGCGGCAGATCCCGGCGACGCACGATACGGGTTGTGGATGGGCTCGACGTCGAGGTCTGGATGGGCTCACGTCTGGGCTCGTCTTTTTTTTAATTTTTAATTGATTAACCAAGGCGGGCAAAGCACCCGCCTCGGTTAATCAGCATTAACCGTGACCTTTGAGTGGAGGCGGTTGCTTTGCACGCCTCTGTAAATCGGTTTTGACGGCCTCCAAAAAGATTTCTATACTAGTGAGTTACATAAAATGAAAGCCATGTGCATATTTGAGTGCTTGAACTGTTGTGTGAACCACAAGTGGTAGTGTGGTACTACCCATGCTCTAATTCAAATTTGAAAAAACCTACAAAATATTTTAACATTTTCTTGTGGTCCCTCCTAATTGGGCTCCAACCCAAACCTCCTCCACCTCCGGCCCAGCTAGCTAGCCAACACACTGCCTCTCTCTCTCTCTCTCTCCCCCTAACGACGTGGATCACTTTTTACATATGTTGTGTATCGAGTTTTTTTTGAAACGGAACCGACAAGAGAGCTGCATGTTGTATTAAAAAGAAAGGAGCCTAAAAAGGCACTGTACAAACATATACAATTGTGTACCAAAGGGCAAAAGCCGGACATGTCCCGCTCCAGGTGGACTCAAATCACACGCGCAATAACAGGTTGGAGATATATTTTGCTCCCGCCATGTACATGCTTGACCTCGTAAATCTGTTGAACACCGCTTGTACATACCATTAGCCATGTATGAAAATGGTAAGCCTAGTATCATGCTTGACCTCGTAAATCTGTGGATTTTGGTGCAATGTGATGCGTGGAGTAGCTACAAATAGCTAGAGGTAATAACGTATTCTATCGCACTGTACAAAAGCCCTAACAAACCAAGCCAGCCATAGCTACGGACGAGAGAGAGCGTCCTAGAGCAGCGAAGCCGGTAGCCTTTGTTGCAGTCTCGGAGAATCGGAGTTGTCACCAAAGGCCTGAGCATGGTCAACGGCCGCCGAGGACGCCGGTCCGTTGGTCGGGTGGCGTCCGTCCTGCACGCACGGCCGTAAATGGCCCGGAGCCCACCGCGTGATCCGCGCCGGAGGGCAAGCAGGCTCCGTTCGTCTGCCGGCCTCCCCGTCGATCGGCTTATGCATCCATCCATACGTCAATGCATGATCCACCGATCGCGCATTCGCGAGATTGGCACCGGCAGTTTGGCACCAAGCGCGTGTCGAGTTGCTGCGTGTCGATCTGACAGTCTGACTAGAGCTTGGACTGAAACCGCGGCTCTGCGGCTGCAGGGAATGAATTTTTTAGCGGCGGTTAAAATCACCTTTTATAGAGCATCTCCAAGAGTTTATTACTGAACAGAACAGTTTTATTAGTGGAGTTAAAACTATTTGAAAAAATATTTAGGCCTTGTTTAGACTGGGGTTAGGAATCGGTATTTAGCACTGTAGCACTTTCATTTGTATTTGGCAATTATTGTCTAATCATGGCTTAACTAGGCTCAAAAGATTCGTCTCGTAATTTACAATCAAACTGTGTAATTAGTTATTTTTTTATCTACATTTAATACTTCATGCATGTGTCCAAAGATTTGATGTGATGGAAAGAGAGTGAAAAAACTTGCAATCTAAACATGGCCTTAGTATGACGACTCCTCACGGTAGATCTAAGAGAGAAGACTAGAAGAAGCTAGTATTTGAAGCTCTATTGAACACCCACCTTATGTGAGAGCTGGCTTTTAGGAGCTTCATTCGAGGTGTTGTTTTATTTTATCCCGTTTGAAAAAAATACAAATAGCTCATGAAGCTGCCGGAGAAGTTGTACCAAACAAGCCTTATAAACTATTTCTACAGTGTCTCTACCCTAAGAGATCCGTATATTTTTTAAAAGAATCATAAAATAAACAACATTGTAAGACAGAATTCAAATGATTATTCAAACACATTCTCAAATTTTTTAACCCATGATTTCATACCTCACACAACCTTTACTTATCATCCCACTTACTAACTGCAATAGGATTATTATTTCGTCGTGGGAACGATTTTAAGAGGCAATACTCTTTACGGCCCCACTCTAAATATAAAAAAAAAAAAAATCAAACACCCACATTTTTAATAGATATGAGATCTTATAAATGAATATCTGGTCTGCCTAAAGAGTCTCAATCAAAGTAAAAAAATAAAATATAAACTATAGAGT